CTCTGCCCTTTAATTTTCTGGAGGAGTTTGAAGATTGATATTAATTCCTCTTTAAACGTTTGGTGGAATTGACAAATGAAAATATGGTTTGGGGTTTTTCTTTGCTAGGAAGTTTTTGGCTACTGGTTCAAACTCTTCAGTGGTTGTTTTAGTCAGCTTTTTCACTATGGTGACTAAAAGATCTGACCAGAACAATTGTAGGAGGAAAAGTTTATTGAGGGCTCAGGGTTTCAGAGGTGTCAGTGCACAGACAGCCAGCTCTACTCCTCAGGGCTTGAGGTGAGGCTGAACACCGTGGTGGAAGAGTGTGGTGGAGGGAAGAAGCTCACCTGATGGTCAGAAAGCAAAGAGAGAGATTCCACTCACCAGATAAAAAATGGTACCCTTCCATGCCCACTTCCTCCAGCCACACCCTACCTACCTACAGTTACCATTCAATTAATCCCATCAGGGGATTAGATCACTGATTGAGTTAAGACTCTAAAAACTCAATCATTTGTCCTCTGAATCTTCTTGTATTATCTTACACGTGAGCTTTTCAGGGACACCTCACATCCAAACTATAATAGTAGCTATAGATGTATTTAAATTTTCTATTTCTTCCTGATTCAGTATGGATAGATTTTCTACAAATGTGTCCATTCCATCTAGAATGTCCTGTTTGTTACTATAAATTGTTCACTGTTCTCTTATAACCCTTTTTATTTCTGCACAATAGTAACATACCCAAATCAGAGGTTTGTCATTTGTTAGAACCAACTCAAAACAGCCTTGCTTTCTGTGTAGTGGTGTTGTTGTCATCTTAGGTCAATCCTTTTTCCTGCCTACCTGTCTGCCTTCCTCCCTCCCGACTCCAATGCCAGGGACTGAAGTCAGGGTCTCACACATGCTAGGAAAGTGTTTTACCACTGAGCTACCCACCCAGCCCAGTCAATTTCATTTTAAATAGTTTCAGCAGCAGGTTTCTCAACACTTTTCTTTAAAAGGTTGTTATTTATCAAAAATAACTTTTAGACACTTATTTTTACTACCTCCCTAATTCAAAAGTCAGCTCACTGGTTAGTTATTGCTGAAATATGGAAACTTTGTTGCTAGTTCAATATGGTAACAGACACATGGCTTCACTGTGATGGATTAGATATAGCTACTTGACACTGCGGCAAAGTGACCATTCTTTCCATAGTCCAAGGCAGCAGGGATAGAGTGAGATAGATTATTTTATTGAATTAACTGTTTTATTAGAAAAAAAAATTTCCACATCAGGAATGCATCACTCATATTTCTGGAAGTTTCTGGGGAGACAGAGCAACACAATTCAGGTTATCAGTGTGTAAAATAAGGGAAAGGTAGGTAGAATAAGACCTTTGGAAATAGAAGCTTGAATTTGTGACATTAAATTTCACTGACAATGAATTTTGCTTTACACTAACAAGCTTATGAACTTGTGCGAATTCTAAAACACGTGCAAATTCTCTTGTGTTCAAGGCCCTTTTGAATTGGGAGCCAGCTTTCTCCCTTTTGAAATGTGGAAAATTGAATTGCAAGAAACAAACTGCGAGAGTGTAATTATGACAGGGAGGCAACTAGTTATCTTCAGTGAAAACAAAACTCAAGTTTCAGCTCCAACACTTACGAACCCTTTCATCTCTTGAAATGGGGTCACCACCTCTTGCCTCACTTACTTCATAAGGTTTTAAGAAGATGAAAGAATGTATGTCAAGCATGAACTGTAAAATGCTGTGCCTTATTAAACATGCCACATGAATTAAATGTGCACTACGTATGTACTCATGGTAGCACCTAATCCATTACTGTTTTAATTTACATTAGTGAGCAACCCAGTTTTACACTTCTGATATTCTTATGTACTTTATTAGAAGAAAATGATGAAATGTTAGGTGTTAAGATTTGTGAAGCTTCTATGACTTTACTTACCTATTCCTTTTTCATGGGTACTGGGAGAAGATACAACAAGACTCCTAGGTCACAGACAAAGGACTTCGTAACTCAGCACAGCAGTAGCTGAAATGTCAGCATGGTTGCTTTGAATTCCCTTATTCCCCAAATCCCATGGAGAGAGGTGACTTGGAGGGATCAAGACAGATACCACACATGTAGTGGGTTTGTCAATCAGTAGAGAAACACTGAGTTTGGGATTTTATTGTGTTAAACAGAAACAAGCCTCTTTATTTTGGGCAATATGCTACCTAATCCCTCAAGACGGATCGCTGCAAGCACAACAGCCTGGGTAACAATCATCAGGGTCATGCATTCTTGGCAGACTCAGCAAAAAAATGTGTTGGTATAAATGCTCAGGGCCCATAGCTGGTTGCTTCTCCCAGCATTTAGATGAAATAAAACCTGGTATCTCAAGTAGTAAGTAAAACCTTACTATTCTACTGCAGTTCTGCTAAAATAGTAAATAGAAAACAAAAATGGCAAAATAAGTGGCAATGTATCCAAAAAAGTAATCAGCTTCTAGTTTTTCAGAATACCTAGTCATCAAGGCCCTCCCAATGTTTTCTTAATCTTGCAAACCCAAGATACCATATTTTATGCAATTGCTGTTCTTGTTGCTGTTTTGTAGTACTGGGGATTAAACCCAGGGGTATTCTACTACTAAGCTAAAACCATCCCTTTTTGAGGCAGGGTCACCCTAAATTGCTAAGGCTAGCCTCAAATCTGTGATCCTCCTGCCTCAGCCTTCTGAGTAGCTGGGATTTCAGGTGTGTGCCACTATGTCCAGCCAGTAATTTAATTTTTTAAAGTTCTAACTTACTTATAGGTGAATTTTACAGTACATTCACCTCGTGATGTCAGGAATTGTATTTATCAGCAGCTCTGGTATGACACACAGTGGAACTCAAGAAGCTAGTGAACAAGTTTAGTTCCTATCTTCCTATCTCTCAGGAGGAGATTAAAAATACTGAAGACGATGAAATATCATCAAAACTTGCAATCCCTTCTAAATAGCATAACATTATCATTCAGATAGAATGAAGGCTCTTTCTGAGTTCAAGATGTAAGCATCTTTAACCTAAAAATCTATATCCATAGATAAAACACGCATATAGATGTTGCTTTTCCATCTTCAAACATGGTGGGGATGGGATGGAGGTAGTACCTTTTAGTGATACTAGCTAAAATCTTTTACCTACTCTTAGCATGTCCAACACTGGTGAAGACTTGGACACACCACCACACCCTGATTGTAAAATCAACAACGGTGAAGCCTCAACCATGCATGTATGGTGATCAATTTTTCCTGCCAACCATTCTTTTTTATTTTTTGGTACTGGGGATTGAACTCAGGAGTGCTTTTCCACCGAGCTAGATTCCCCAATCCTTTTTGTTTATTTTTAAAAATTTGAGACAGGGTATGGCTACATTGCTTGAGATCCTCCTGCTTCAGCCTCTGGCGTCACTGGGATTACAGCCATGCACCACCGTACCCAGGTCCTACCAATCATTCTTATTTTTGTTTTAAAGTAGTTATTACTTACAAATCTTACTCACCATTATTATGATTCAAAATGCCACTTTCACTGGGTGTAGAGTTGCCTACTGATTCGTTAATTGGAATTAGCTTAAAAAAGAGAATTGCCATTTTAAAAATGTCTAGAGATTTTTACCCTCTCATAGGAGAGGCATCAAAAGTTTTCATATAAAGAGAACAATGGAACCCAGAATGAATCCACCAATTAATAAGAGCTGCCCGGTCCCCTGTGTGAAGAGCAAAAGTTCACATTAGCCTCTCGTACAACACATTCTAGACAAGGGCATAAGGGCAGTCTGGGGCCGTGGCCAGCAAAATCAGCATGCAATGTTTCAAAAAGGACAGGACTTAGGCATGATGAGCTTTCTATCCCAGGCCTGGGTGGAGGTGGTGGAAAAACTTTACTTTTCTCTATCATTTCCAGATGATATCTATATTCAATAATCCCTGATCTTTGAACCTCAGTATCTTATCCTACTCCCTTTGACCCATTGAACTACTTTCACTAACTTTGACTTTTGGGTAGGGGTCATCCTCTCATCATTCATCAAGGGGTCTAAAAATAACACCCTGCAACCTGCTTTGGCAAAGACTAAGGAATTCAGAGGGCATTGACCTCAGATCACTTGGTGGAGGCACAAGGAGACATTTCTTTCAGAAATGAGCGACAGGACTCTGCTTTCTTTAAAGAATTAATGATTTTTGCCCATTTGTAAACAGAAAATCAGAATCATAGAGCATGTAACTATTTTTTTTCCATAAATGAACTTATATTGTTGTACCTTATTTTTTATTTTAAATTTAAGGACAGGAAAAATAATACTGTGCAGTTGACTCATGGTTCCATTAACTGGAGGTTGTCACCTTATTTTTAAAATAGTGCTAGAAGAAAATAACCCTCTGGTGGTTTTATTAAGTACTTTACTACTAAATAAATATAAGAACACATTCTGTTAAATTGAAAGAAACAGTAATACTAATTTTGAAAAGACTGTTGATGTCACTGTGGTTTATTGGATAAATACAAAGTATAGGCTCTTTAAAGCAAAACCAAAGGGATTAAAAACCAAGTACACAAATCCTCTTTTGAATAGAAACATAAATTAGTTTAACTAACAATTAGGCACTTAAAATGCAAATGTAAGACGGTACTTTTAGAAGTATAAACAGTAGTTATAACTTCTAAATTCCTCCTGAAATGTTTTTTTTTTTACAAATACAAAAGCATAAGCATGGAAAATATTTCTAAACACAACAACAAAACTTTCCTCTCATTAAAAAAAAAAGAAAGAAAGAAAAAAGGAAAAAGAAAATAAAAAAGAACCTGAATTCAAATATCATATGATAGAACAATGATTAAGGTGGGTAGGAGATAACAGTTTCTGAAATTTACATATTTGATTAATAAACTATTCAATAGCATACAGTAGATATCATAATGAAAATATATGTCAGGAAAATAATGAGTTCTAGACTTAAAATTTTACTTTACAACAAGGCACTTAACACATTGAAATAGTACAGTAAATTTCCAAAAGAATGCAACTGGCTATCCCTCAAAACCTTGTAATAATATTTCTTTTGTGAATATACTGTAACATAACCATACATTTTGCAGCATTAATCATTGCATAGGAGGTAAATTAAATAATAAATTCCAACTTGGCAACTAGATTAGCTTATGTTTATAGTTTTTCTTTTAAAGGACAATTTAAAATAATTCCACACGACAGCACTCTTCTTTCATGATTCATTTAGAACACAAATATAGTTATTAAGTAAAAATAACTCAGAACTTACAAGGTGTCTATTTGTAAAGACTTATCTTTGGGTACCTTTGACATGATTTGCAGTGTTTGGATAATGAAGTCAAGAGCACTTCTTCATAAAAGCAATATTTTCAACAACTGAGTCAAAGGAGTTAAATTATTGCAACACAATGACATTAAAAACACAAATATGAGGAATCTTTATACATAAAAATAGAAAAGCCTTCCACACATTACACATAACTTATAATATGCTTGATTTAAAAGCTGTAAACTCATTTATTAAGAAATTCCTTCTCACACTTCCTTACACTACAGAGGTGAGTGCGTTAAGACCGGCTTAAGTGTTTAATCAGTTTTACAGTACAAAATTAAAACAACAACAGTAAATGAAATGTTCAAAATATTCAAGGAACAGGATGTGAGCTTTCAAATACAAAGGAAACTTACGAGTTTGAGCATGTAAATTTTAAAAAATAAGAAAGACAGCTGACTTGGGGTTTCAAAGTAAACAAAAGTGTAGGTAGTTATAAAGGGAGACATTAATGATTGTGTAGCTAGAGGTAAAAATGATCTGCAAATTTTCTTTGATCATATGGATGAAAGATTCAAATTGCAGCTTCCTATAATCTGAGCACATTTTACAAGTGGGAAGGGCTTGAAACGTCTCTAAAATAACTTTCCCCCCATAGTTTCAGTTGGCAAAAATTGAAAAACAAATGCCTTTAAAAACAAAAATACACACTATAAAGTGACCTCTGCTTTCCAAAAAACATACAACCTATAGCCACAAGGGGGCGCTGGTAATACAACAAAAACCCCCTAGTGACCCTAATGCCACGTCACCCACAAAACAGTTTTCAAGCTTACTCTCCAAATAGCCTGTCTTCCACAGCAAAACTTGTTTCCCAAGATGCCGGTTAATTAAATGACAAATTTGTCATTTATTCAGATGGAACTGGGGGAAGAATGCTTTCTTTTCAGATCTAGGGGAGGAGCTTGAAAACTAGAATCTGAGAGAACTTCATTTCCATTGGAAAGAATTTAGGAAAAGGTATAGCATAATTTATAGGCATTATCTATTATAGGTATTTCGTAGAGGGACTAAATTACAAGAAAAGGTTTCAACAGGAGCACAGGCTTACAAAAACATGGATAATGGATAAGATGTGAATCTTCACTGGCAAAGAAAAGATGTTGCAAAATTTTGCTGTTTCACAAAATCATAATTGTTTGTTTTCTATCTATCTCAGAGTAGCATGTTGGGGTAAATCCCATGTTTGCTTTCCCACATGTCAATGAGTTTCACTATTTCTCTTCTTTTCCCATCTTGAATCTTTGAACGACCCCCACCCTCAGCACCTGTCAGAAAGCTATGACACATCTTGTGTAGACTACATGGGAGCAGTAGTGTCCACACCCTGAGTCATGGGTGTTTATAAAGTTCTTGAGAAGGTGAAGATATTATTTTTTTAAAAAGTGAATTACTTGATATAAGTGCGAGGCTTACTGTTTCAAAGGTGTCCAATAATCAATACATACGGATTTTTAAAGCTTAAGCACTTTTCCTTATTCAATTGGAGAAAAGTGGGTTATCCAAGACACAGATGAGTGAGGCTCTAAGGGACATTAGATTGTTTTATTTGAATTAGAGGCTCAGGGAGCAGTATCCAGGCTTTAGTGTCTGATGATTTTCCTCCTAATCAGACAATGGAATTTAAAATCAGTGTTTTCAAGCAGAACACCTTGTGCTATCACAATTGGCAATATTTAATAGATACACTTAAGCAAAAATTACATAGAATGATGTCTAAACACACAAGGCATATGTTTATTATCATTTTATATAATAAAAATACTGGAAAAATCCTTGTGTTTCAAAATCTGCCAAGATGTTTAAGGTTTTAATTCTTATTTAAAATAACCAGATTAGAGAGCCTTCTCCCGGTCTTTGAATTCAACCACTTTTCCTTTAGTGATTCTTCTATTACATAGAGGAGGGGAAAAAAAACACTCTGAAAACTATACAGAATTTTAGCACCAAAGGATAATGACCTCTCTGAACAGATCTATATTGTGCTTTTCTCAAGCAATTTAATGGCCAATTTTGTATAATCAAGGCTGACTAGTGTATAATGATAAATTTAGAGATGTTTCTCATGTAAGAGGAAATTTCACCTTTAATATACTTGTAACTGCCTCATCCCAATCTACTGGCCTATCCTATCTCTGCCCTCATAGAATATTTTCTAAGTTTACCAGAAGTCTTACAAATTGACCTTTAATTAGTTAAGAATTTAAGCCAAGAATTATCCAAAAATTTCAATAGCAGTAAATAAAGCACTAAATCTGATAGTATTAAATCTGATCAGATTTTTAAAATCCACCTGTTTTGCATCAACTCAATGAAATTTAGAAACAATTATCCCTCTTTTTCCATGTAGCTGTGCCTGTCTAACAAGTTGATTCCAAAAGCATATTAAAGTACAGCACCATGTATTAATTTTCACAGGGTAAAAGTCAAATTACTCAGTGGTGGTACATGTCCTCAGGAAGAGTGTATGGGAGCTGAGGCTGTTGATAAAAGTCAAAAGTACATTAAACCTTCAGGCTCTGTCTTGTTTTTTCCATAAAGTACAATGCAACTAGGAAGAAATAATTTTTAATGAAATGTGCCCAGATATCTTTTGGGGTTCCAATTAGGAACCTTAAAACAGACTTTACCCCAGCACCTGAGCTGGAAGGGAAATACATACTTGTTCCCCAAGGGGTGTGAGCACCTGTTCACACATGCATGTTTCCAGCCTGTGCTGGCGCAGTTGACATCCCTGGGGTCCCAGATGCAAATCTGCCAGTCAGGCTGCATCTAAGTGTGTGCATGAGGGCCATTCCTTAGCAGAAGGAACCCCCTGCTTCCTGTGTATCTGCCATAGATATTTTAAAGTGAAATATTTACACATGTGTAAAATCTGTGGGTGAGTCAAATACTTTTATATTTCCTTGGATCACCTTTTAAAATAAAAAAGATAAAATCGTCAGTTAAAAACATAGGACTAAAAGGGATACATAGTGCATAGGGTGGTAGCAGCAGAGCGCATTCCTACACTCCCCCCAACCTTCCTTGCAACAGGGTAGAAGCAAAAGTGCACCCAAATGTGACTCACAGCCGTGGACTGCCCTCCCCACCCAAAGCCTAATGCTAAAAACTACTTTCAACATTAGGCTACTCTATTTACACAGTGGCTGTATACATCCAGACATTTTATTCAAAACATTAACAAATTCTTCTGACCCTGGGAGGAAAAAAATATCCTGAAAGAATGCTGAAGTAGAAGATTTTAGTGGCGAAAGAATAAGAAAATGGGTAATATGTTCTTTGGCACCTCTTTAACAAGCTCACTAGTAAAATCCCAGGATGGGGGCTTGTCTCCAATGAATGAAGAGCTGCAAGAAAATATATCTTTCTCAGGCTGAATTAAAAAAGGAAACAGTCAAAAAGTAATACTTTGTTCATCTTTCCAATCATTTACACAAAATTTTGGTCCACGTCTTCATTTACCAGTCTGTTTTCCTAAAATAAAAACAAAGCTATACCTTTGGTTGCAGCATGAAAACTCTTTTGGTGTAAGAGCTGGTGCCTCTGGATCCTCAGGTAGACTTCTCGTTATCCTCACCAATCTTTTGGACCCGTGAATACTTTTTGCATGATGACTTGAAGCAGCCAGGAGGCCAAGACAGTGGCCAGGAGAAGCAGCAAGGAATTGAGCCTTGTACATTTTTTTCAAAAAAATAAAAGATGGGGAACCACCACGCACGAGATAAGAAATTAGTCTGTGAAGAGACTTTCAAGTTCTGCAAAGGGGAGGAAAAAAGCGAAATGAGACATCTTTCATGATTCGTCCCCTAACTTTTTTCTTAATTAAATGGTCATTCATTGTAACTTAACAGGGGAGGCCGAGTCTGTATCCCATGGCAGTGACTGCTGTTACCCACTTTCCTCAACTCTGCTGTGACTCTAGTCCTCAACATACCAAAGCACCTTTTCCTGTTTGAGGCACATGCCATTTCTTCTGCCTATAATTTCAGTAAGAAGGGAGACTTGGGAATGGTATTCAGTAGTAATGATTTCTAGAATGTGTGAGTGTCACATCTAGTTGCCTCTACTAGAGCTCAGAAGGTTGAAGATATTGAAGAGGAAAGGCGAAAAGTTTGATTTGGTAGTGTGAAGAGGCATCTAGAAGGAAGTGTTAAGAAGGAACATGGAAACAGTAAACTACAGAATAGGAGAGAGAACTACAAGAAGAAATAAAGGAATGCGTAGAAAAGGTATTTATCAGTGGACACCAAGAGATGGATGCAGGTTTTTCCAGAATGACATATCAATCACTCACAAATTTTCCAAACCTTGTATGTACTGAGAAATACTTCGAAGTTTATTCAGAGATAAGTAAGTCAAGGTGTTGGGAGTTGCAGACCAACTCTATTACACTAAAAAACCACATCAAAACTTGAAAAAGAGCAGTGGAGGAGCAGATCTACCTTGGATCTGGAGAGGGAGAGAGGAGTTAGGGAAAGCTTTCTAGAAGCTCTGCAAGAATGAATAGGAGAAGAAAGAACAGTTCCCCCTGGAAATAGGAAGAAGCAGAAATAAATAAGGAAGGAGAAGAAGGGAAGCCAGAGGGCACCAGTCATCCAGAGATGTACCAAAGCCAGTAACTCACAAGATATTTATTTTGCCTGATTAAAAAAGAAAAAGATACATGGCTGTCTCTCTCTCTAAAAATTAATTTATGTGCTTTGAGAATAGAGCAGGTACCAGGCTGTCCCATGATACTCGTACAGAGATGGGTCCTAAATTTTAATCTAGTACATCTCTCTCTCTTCAATTCCAGTATAAATCAGCTGAATTACTAAAACACCACAATGTGCTCTGCGATTTTACAGCATTTCTATCTTTGCATGGCCTTTCTATTTGTGAAGTTATTTGGCTTCCTATTAAGAAGCAGGTGTGGCTCTAAGTATAAGTGGACTGTTGAACCCCACAACTGGGTGGGGCCAGCAGTTATTCCCATGAAGCTCTCTCAAACCCCACAGCATGAAAGGGGTCCTCTGAATTTCAAGAAAAGAAACCATCCGAGGATCGAGGATCGTCACTGCTCTCACCTTTTCATTGGCCATTGAATGGTACCACCAAAAGAGCCGTGTTGTGATATAATAAGCAATGATCACATCAACAGTGTAGTGTTCATGCGCTACAAGAATGCAGATGATCCCGGCGGCACTCAGGAGCCAGCAGATTAAATGATACCACCAGAAGTGACGAGGCGAATCTGGACAGTGGAAAAATTATAGAGTTAATGAGATTTCCAGAGATGATTTTATCTATCTATCTATCTATCGATCGATCGATCTATCGTGGAGCTGGGGACTGGACTCAGGGTCTTGCTTATGCTAAGCAAATGCTCTATTACTGAACCACACCTGCAGCTCCCAGAGATTAATGATTATAATCTGTCCTAATTACCTGGAGTAGAATAATCTAGGATTGGAAAGTTACTAGAAGGAGAAAACTGACCCAGATGAGTCACTATGAACCATCCAGGATTTGCTCAGGTAGGAATGGGCAGCGGGAGGAGGTAGGGGCGGTGGAGGTGGGGACAGACCATGGGTAGAACAGGTATAACTGTCATTCACTGTGAGGGGAAGGCAGTGGCTCATAACAATAGATATTCGAGGCCTTGCCCTCTGCTAATAAGCTGCTTAATAGGGAAGAGAATGGATTTCTTATGAGGTTGGCTGGAATTGGCTTCTCCTGGCTCACCTAAGTAACCATGCTGGAAAGAGAAGCAGCAGGTGTCAAAAGAAAAGGTGCTCATTCATGAAAATAAGGGGAAAATGTCAAAGCAGGGGAAATTTCAGGTTATAAATGCACTTTTGTTTCTCCCTTGTGTATCTGGGTGGAACAGGGAGGGGCCCTGTAGCAAGCAATAACTCGACTCTTGGCAATTTCATACTGTTATCGACAACAGCACTGGGAAGCACTGTTCCCTATGAAAACCTTAGGAGTCTTGCCCATTCACTTATAGATTTTTAGCCTTCCTTTTTAGTCATTCATTCCATCGATTAGCTGTTAGAGAGAACTGCAGAATTGGTGGGTTAAACAGGGTGGGACTTCTCACCCAAATGTTAATGACAGGCACAAATGGAACCTATTCATCTCTAATTACTTGGTCATCTGTTTCATTTCTTTCTTTTTCTATTTTAAAGCTTTATTGGCTCACAATAAAAGTTTAATAATCCAATAAACTGAAATTTATTCTCTCTTTAAACTTTTTTATATTCTCAGCTGACATTTTCTTTCCAGAGTAGAAGAATGGTTGACTAGCAAAAGGCTGCATTCCTAGAACTTCAGATGAAACACCAAGTCAGTCATCACTTCAATACAAAATCTCTGTGATAAAATAGCTGTTGCTCTTTTGGTACCAGGTAGAACAGAAAGGGAAAGTAAACTTACATTTGCATTTGAACGTCTGATTTTCTAGTTTTGGATATGCTATTTATTCACTTGCTTCATTGTACAACCAAGTTCTCCAAGGTAACTCAAAGAAAGCCAGAATTTTCAAATTTTATTTTATTTTATTTTATTTTTTGGTACTGGGGATTGAACCCAGGGGTGCTTAACCACTGAGCCTCTTCCCCAGTCCTTTTTGTATTTTATTTAAAGATAGGGTCTCACTGAGTTGCTTAGGGCCTTGCTAAGTTGATGTTCCTCCTGCCTCAGCCTCCTGAGTTGCTGGGATTTGAGGCATGTGACACACCATGCCTGGCATGAATTTTAATGCTGAGAGAGACTTTAGTCTTAGGGCCTGAGGGGGTCAGATCCAAGCCCACTGTTGATCTGTTAGGCTCAGCAGATGAAAACTGGACAGGACATCATCCTGCAGCATCACAAACCGAGCCTTCCTAAGGTCTCATGCCAACCTTCCTTGATTACTGGGTATTTATGAACAGCTCAAAATGTTCAGGCAAACCAGAGCCATTTTGCATTTTTTTGGGGGGGTGGTCACAAAAAGGAAAGCTGAAGTAGATAAGGAAAAAGGAAGTAACTTGAATGGTCATTTTACTACTCTTGAACTGAAAGTGAGGTTTTAAGAATAGCTGGAAACCCTAACATTTTTCTATGATGCTACCACTGCAGCGGGACCACTACTCATGAATTCAGAACATTGGCTGACCCCTTTCTCCCAAAGGTATTTTAAAATAAAAACGGCAAAATGGTAATCCTCTTTGTTCTCCATTCTACCCATAACATGGAGCTAAAAGATGGTGACACAGGTGGCTGGGGTGTGGCTCAGCAGCAAAGTGCTTGTCTTCCATGTGTGAGGTACTGGGTTCGATCCTCAGCACCACATACAAGTAAATAAACAAAATAAAGATAATGAGTCCATGCACAACTAAAAAATATATTTTTTAAAAAAGATGGAGACATAGATTGTAACTGACTTCACTGTCTGTGTGGGATCTTAAACATGATGGGCACTGAATAATAATGACAGTGGAGTTGGAGTGGTGGCAAGGTTAAAAATGACAATGATCTTTCCTAGCCAGACATCTGGGGTTAAGAGCATGGCTGATTTCTCCAGGCAAATTTTATAAGGAGTCTAGGTCCCACTGATAATATTTGCACAATTGTGTAAAGCCCTCTTTTGTTAAACCACAAAATGGTCGTGGTCCCACCTTTTCATTTGGTCTCACAACTAAATTTAAATCCACTCATCACAAGAGAGCAAACAAGAGTCCAAGCTGAATAAAAGGCAGGAGAGCAAAACATACATAAATGATGCATGTCATTCTAGAAGCAGACTTTTCAAAGAAACCACTGGAACCTCTACTTCCTCAGAACAACAACACATGGTGTAATTTAGAAAGTGACTGTTTTCCCTAATCACAAAGAAACAGGCACAAACATGGAAGACCCTGTTTAGATACAGAACTGGTTATGAATCAGAGTTTGTAGTATTAAAGATTTGCCATTTTACGTCTTCCCCCAAAGTGGAGAAAAAAGCAGAATATAATCCTTTACATGCTACATGTAAACTCACACAACTTTTAAAACCCCAGCTGATGGATGTCTTGGGAGAAAAATATTTCTACATATTGGGTGACCTTCATCAAAGAGAAAGGTAACTACAAGTTGTCAGGCTCTGACGTTAAAAACCGAACAATAATGAAAATATACCTTGTTTATAGATAGGGAAACTATTCCTTGGCAATTCTATAAGATCAGATAACTCAAATTTCCTAAAATCCTAAACAAAGCCAAGAAATGAAGTCCAGAATCTCTAGGGTCAGCCGACTTGAGTCTGAACACCCGATCCTCCAAATTCTGACTGTGGTCCAGGGCCACAGTCATGTGGCTTTCTCTGTGCTTAAGAAGAAAGACTGGGGGGGGAAACAGTGCCTCCTGTTGCAAGGATTATATGAGTTAATTTGCATCAAGGGCTCAGAACACTGCTTGGCCTAGAAGTAGTAGTATCACCTCTATGCTACTAGTGTTAATATCACTTGTTCCTCAGTTATTTTGGAAAACCGGCCTAAAGTCTCCTGGGATGTTTTCTCTTCATTATTTTGTGGTTTTCAACTCACAGGGCCTTTGCTCTGACCCTTCTAATCCTCCCCACCCCATCCTCTTTCATAAGTTCCTTTTGCCTTCGAATTAGAGAGAAGGTCCCACAAACTAAATAAAACCGTGAGTTAGAAAATAACTTCTTATATTCAGGTGGAACTTCCCCTGGAAAAATCTAGAGTTAGAAATATAAACAATGCACTTTCTGGAACCAAAATTTAGGTATTAGAATATAATGATTAAATTTCAAGAGTCTGTCCCCTGATATTGGTGTATAAACGAGATTTAGCCACCGACCCCGATTCCCCCCACCCTCACCATATACCATAGAGTGAGTGGAAATAAGGGAGAGGTACAGAAGGCCTCTGGCCTTCAAACCAAGCATGACAAAGACCCCACACGTAGCTAAACCTATTTGGATTAATGAAAGGCCAAGAGGGGAGGAAAGAGCCAGAAAGGGGGCGGTGGTGGGTGGGGAGGTCTCTATCTGCAGAGACACTTTTTCTACAGGCTAAGTGAAGAGAACTGAGATGTACTTCTAAGAACACTAGCAGGAGGCATCTTGGATCTAAAGATGAAGGTGAGCACCGAGCAGCCTTGTATACATGAAGGAAGAGGTATCACCATTTCAAAAGGACTCTGAGATGATGGGCCCAAATGGGCCCAACCTCAGGAATCTACAAAATTGTGACCTGACAATGAATAAGACATTATTTCATCAATGAAAGCTACCAGAAACACAAGGATGCTGTATAATGGAAAATGACTATATAAATATGAAAACAGATTTCAAGTTCTTGCCTCCAGGTTTCCTCTTAAGAAGAAAATGATTGGAACTGGCAAAAACTTCCATCAAGATAAGATGTCTAATAAAACATAGAAAGTGGCTAGAAAATGATGGAATGAAGTGGGACTCAGAAATGGTTTAAGGAGGGAAATGAAGGAACTCCCTAGAATCATGGAATGGAAGGGTCAGACAAATAATTCAAAGTTTATTTACTTTTGGATTTAGAATGGACTAATTCTTTTTGCAATAAATTTAATGTTTCT